TATTGTTATAAGGAATTTTTTAATAAATATCTATAGTATATGTTATTACTGATATTATAAAAAATATTTTGAGTAGAAAAATATTTAAAAGTTTACATACATTGGGAAACTGATGTAGAAATTCTAATACTCTCACTAGTGACCCAAGCAGGTTAGAAGTTGACATTTAAGGAAATTCGGTGATAATTTTGTTCAATAAAAACAAATTGCGGGCTTCAAGCCAGAGGCGTTTACAAAAATAAGGGTTTTGTGTAAACGCCCCTAAGACTTGCAGCCCACAATATTTTCCTAATACTTATAATACTAACATTGTGATAATGTAATATCTAAGTCTAAATTCATGTAACTACAAAAATATTTAATAAATCTTATTTACAAAACACATAAATGCAAAAAATATACCAGATCATACGTTCACGTCCGACATTGTTTGTGTTGTGACTGAAGCAATGATTAAATTTTTAGTTACCTGTAGAAGAATCTTTGCGAATCAGATCATGTTTTAATTTGGAATGAGTATTTACATTAGACCGATGTTCTCTTTTAACAACATTCATTTTAAACTCTTGATTGACTTGTCTTAAACTTTAAAATGCTCAAGAAAATGATCACAAAATTATTTAAATTTATCTGTATGTATAGCGCCAATTTGTTTTGATTGTTATTTAAAATTAAACACAAAGGGTCTAGTCTATAGAACATACTCTGAGATAATACTTTTTCCTATATTATCATCAGTCCATTAAAGATAAATTTTTTTTTTTTAACGTAAACGCTGTAAATATCTTGAAACAAAGCTAACCTTAAATTTTCTAGTAAACATTTACCTGCAATATTGTGACATCATAAATCTTTGGAAAACGAAAAATTCGAATTTGATTCATTATTTAAATCCAGTTGACACACCAACATCACTAAATTTGACAGCTGCCCTGTGATTCTGTAAGGGACTGTCCTCATCGTGAATTTATTGCTATTCTGTAACACGTTGAATTATAATATGGGAATACGGCACTTGCGGAAAAAAATCGCGCGGGAAAAAAATTGCGTTTACTAAACTACAGATTGTGATTGTCGCGATTGCTCAGTCGTGCATCAGCACTAGCGGTGGTGGTGTTTATAATGCTAACTAATTCGAAATCGGCCTCCCCTATGGGACATATTTCAGGTAAACTACCATGATATGCAATCCAGAACGAGGTTGTGAGAAGAAATATACATTGAATTGAATCAAACAAATTAAAATTGTTCTGTAGTTCATTATTAGGGTTCCATTACCAAAACGTAAAACGGGACCCTTATTACTAAGGCTTCGCTGTCTGTCTGTCACCAGACTGTGTCTTATGAACCGTGATAGTTAGACGGTTGAAGTATTCACAAATACTAAAAACCAGGATAAAATAAATAATTAAGGGGGCTCCCATATAACAATTATGTGATTTCTTTACTGGTTTCTGGTACGTAACCTTACGTGCACGAGTCCGACTCGCACTTGGCCGGTTGTTTTTACGTTCGTCTCGACCGGGAGCTACATAAACTTTTAACGGAGAACATACATAAAACTGACAAAAATCAAATAAAACCCGCGCGATTAAAAAACTTTTTTCTCCAAAAATTTCCCGACTCTAAAAATCCAAACCCGAATTCGAATTCACTCATGTGTCCGAATTCACGTCTTTAAGTGTATAAATTCTATTGATTCCATTATTTGTATAAAAATACAACACAAAATTGATTGAATATACGTGTTTCAGATATTCTATTCCTATGTCATTTCGAAACTCACTTCACTTATGCCATGAAACGTTATTACCAATTCAAGATTGAGTGGATGCTGCTTTTTGAAGTAAATTCGGACACCTGAGTGAATTCGTATTCGTGTTTGGATTTTTACAGAATCGCAGGGCAGATGTTGATTGATATTTACATGACGTTTTTAGAATTTTGACAAAGTTGATAAAGGTGCGTAATTCGAATTTAGATTTTTATTTCATTATTATTGCTAATAGACAAAGTTCTGTTTCATTTTACTAATGTGATAGTGATAATATCATGATATTACAATAAAAATTAATGTTATATCATTGGATACTATGTTCAAAATTTGTTGGTATTACATTCATCAAGTGGTATAGAGATATTTTCATCTATGACCTACAGCCTAAAGCTGTAAGTCATTATTAATAAATAGATTTAAGTCTGTGATGGAATGCTAAACAATACGTATTTTGTTTCGCCGACGTAATCAATAAATAAGCATTAATTTCACAAAAGTGGCCAGAACAGTAGCCTATCATTTAAATTAAGCTTACTTTTAATTACTTGGTGAGTACCGCTTCTAAATGGAATAGTAAAGAAAACCTATTTCAATTATTTGTTGGAACGATAGTATTCTACTGGGGCATTCTATATATGGATGAGCTGTTTTTCCGCAACTTCGCCTGCTTAAATTATAGCCTATGTCACGCATGTATGATGTAGCTTACGCTAGGTAGAATGATTTTCATCATCAGATCAATATATCTGATGATTACCCTCTACAGACAAACCACAAAGCTAGAATCTTAACCTCTTTATAATGTTAGTTATATGTCAAAAGTCAGCAACCTTATGAATCAGAATAGCCAGAAACCACAATTTATAAAAATTTACAGTTGTTAAAGAGCCACTGAAATGTTTTGTTTCAAGAATATTTAAATAAATTTTGAACATTTTCTCTTTGTCATAAAGCCATTATTGTATGGGTTGAGTATTCAACTATGATTACACAATTTAAAGGGATTTATGATAGTAAAAATAAACTGTTTAAAAAAGGAACTTGACAGCTGCATCTTTATATTGAAAGAACCACAGAAGCTTGTGAGCCACAGGTTGCCGACCTGGTATAGATAAATAATGTGAATGATTACCTGATAAGGCTAACTGAAATTAAAAATATGTATATACATACATAAATTTTATTTGTTATTCAGAGGAAAAGTGTCTTTGCTATCAAATATAAAATATTGTGAATCTCAGTCAATAAAATTAGTTATATGCAGCGCGAAATATCAAAAGTAAATATAAACTTAAAAACAAAATTCAGTATAGTAGAGGGAGTGTCAAATAGATTGAATATAAACTACATTAAAATCACTGATGTATATACTATGATATTGTTATTGAATGTCAATGATATATTTGGTAATACTTATTTACCCTTATAGTTAAAATTAAATTAACTTTGCATTTAAGATGTAATAATTTGTTCTGCATTTAATAATTCTATGGATTTTTTTAGGACTAGTAATATTTTGGTAAATGATACCTTACTTATTTAAGATAATTTATATATGGTTAATGTTAATGGAGGATACATATATATTAAATTTTTTGTGCAAATTTAGTAATAGAAGTACTACAAGTCCTGCCTGCGCAATCTATTACCCTTAAATCATCTATTCATGTTGACACCTATTTTGATAATATAAGATAACCTAAAAGGTCATAAAACTAATAAAATCTCTATAGTTATGTAACAGTCTACTATTATATTATTTAGATATGTCTTAATTAGAGGGATAATATTTGAGACTATTTTCCTCCTATCATAGAAAATCTATATCTCTGAAAGGAGGAAAATGGTCTTGAATATAGATATATCTAGTAAAATCTAAATAAATGAATAACATTAAATCATTTTAAACATAGATAAATGCTGATAATGCTTCAGAGATTATTTTTCATATTTTTTAATGTTTTTTTTTTTATATTAAAGAACCCACTTTTTTACTTTGAATTCTCTATTCTTTGCTAAAAGAGAATAATGATTTTGATTAATGATTAGAGATTTTATTTTAAATAAAATAAAATAAACCCTGAAACTAATATGGCTTTTCGCTGTCTATATGTTAATGCCCAAAATTAAAAAGAAAAGAAAAAACTTCAGTAGTGTTGCTATGTTAGTGTGCATGTTAAATTAAATGATGTAATTAATCTGGTATGCACATGTTACAGTGGGAAGACAATGATAGAACAAGTAGAGCACTAAAACCGTGCGTGATGGTGATAACCCTGCTGTATGATGATATAATCATGCGATATGTATACAAGGTCTTGACAGTAAAATGGTTCAGGTATATTTTGTTATCATTATCAAATATATTTACATTTTCCTTAATAATTCAAATATCATTGCTAGATATATTTTGTTGGCTTTCCAGAGGGGAACAGACCCTCAGAGGGAAACAAATGAACAAGGACAAAAATCAGTTTTATCCTATTTTAGACAAAAATAAATTCAATAGGATTAACAGGACCAATATATTTATATCTAGGTTTTTATAAAAAGGCTTATTAAATAATATTTACCAATAAAATACCTTTATTTGATTATGAACTATTTTACATAATCGCTTGTCAATGTAACTTTAAAATTACATCTGATTCTAATAAATTTTATTTAGGGTTTTTGTAATCATCGAAGAAGCAGCGGTGCTATTAAAGTTCCTTGGGGAAGCCTGTTATCTAAAAAAATATTTATAAAGTACATTAGTCATAAATTGGTAGGAAAGACTATCATATAGCTAATGAAGTTATAATGGGGGAAATCCTTATTTTGATATGCAAATAGTCCCCTGCAACGACACGATAACCCCAACCCTGCCTGAGGAAGGTATTGCGCAAGTTACTCATTGTTGAAAAACATTTTTTTTCCAACAAAACACATTTATCTTTACGATCTTTATCTGTTTTGCGCTCGACGCAATTCGCAAAACAAGTGTTTCCACAAATATTCCATACGTTTCTATCGCGAGTGAGCGAGACGGGTGCAGTTCCGACGCCCTTACTTTAAAGATGGCTCGTGTCTGACTATAGTCTTTTCAATGAAGACGGTACCGTGACGTAGTTCATAGTACGTAGCTCTCGGATAGTAGTTTTGTAGCTCGCATCACCGGTTTATCGCTGAGCGTCGAGACCATCTGTGTCAATAAATAGCGATAAAGGCTCTTTCGGTGTACGTACTTTACTCTCTGATATCATACACGACGGAGGCGTGTTCGCGGTAGTTCCCAAACAGTTTAAACTTTAATATTTATCAGTCTAACTGAGCACACTGCGTTGGTAGCCGCTAACTCTCAAGTTTAACTTCACGTTAAGTCTTATTTAAACCTCAAGAGAAAACTAAGAAATGGCTCTGTACAGGTACTATTTTTTATTCTGCATGCATTTATTATACGATGAAATATTTAATTTTTATATATGGTTTTTTCAAATACAAGGTGTATTTAAAAAAATATATTTAACAAAATAGGCAAATTAGAAATTAAATCGAATAATGAATAGAGATATAAACAACTGATAAATAATATCGACTGAGTCAAGGAGTTTGATTGAGTCACTCAACAGTTTTGTTTATAGTAGTACAAGCGATGACTTGTTGAAAAGCCCGTTTGTCCACAATATGCAACCACATATTGCGCACGGATCGAAATCTGTGATATATTTTTGTCGAGTGCACGACTTTATATTTTTATTAGTATAGACATTGTTTTCAATCAGGAATCACGTTCCAACCGTAAGTAGTGTTCATTTTCGTAAAATAAAAAAGTAAAAATAATTATTTTTATATTTATGTAATAGCAAAGTTAATATTTAAAATCAAGAACGTTCGAACCGTAAGTACACGTTTAAATATAGAAAAAGTAAAAATAGGTAGTATTTTTTTTTTATATTTAATAGCATATATCCTATTAAGAATAAGGAACGCTCAAACTGTAAGTAGTGTTACATTAGTATAAAATTAAAAAGTAAAAAATAGATGAAATAAATATGACATGATTATTCTTTTTTTACTAAGCTATTTCAGAATAGTTTCTAGAGGCCGTAAATTTTAAATGCCATATTTAACATTTTCTGAAGTTCATATAATTATTATATTATTTTATAATAATCATATTATTTAGCACAAACTGAAATTGCCAAGAAATCGATCGAACGAGAAAACTAACAGTAATAAACAAGGTTTGGCGTCGGAGTAAATTTACGATAAAATTGCAATTTTATTATTAGTCCAAATTCATATTATACAGAGAATAACTATGTTCTAGGAGTAAATATTACTCACGTAGAACCTCGTACTAGGTTTAACCTTTGCTAAGTCTCCGCTTAATAATATGAATTTTGACTAACACTAAGTGCAGTCTCGGCGTTAATTTACATCAACGCTAAACCTTGTTTATTTTAACACTGAATGAGTTTTGCGAGTAATAAATTACATATACCATATTCTTAGTATATGCATTTGCTTAGTAGTTATTCTGTACTTAAGTTATAGTATTTAACTTAATTTTTTAACTTACTTAACAATTCCACGACTCTATATCGTTCTCCATAACTTAAGTTTTTTTTTTACTTTTGACAAGACAAAAAAATCTAGTTTTTATCAAACTGGTATTCATTGGTTATTAAAAAACCTAAAATCAGAAAAGAAAACGTTTAAGTGACTAAATACACAATTCATAAACCGGGTGTGACGATACTTTATTTCCTTAACTCAAAAAGGCATTTTGTTTAGATCTGTGACTTAAACAAAATTTTACTAAATATCGAATTTAGTCAATATTATTGCCAGGCTCTGATTTAGTATACAATTAATGCGTGGTGCTAATTTTTCTGCACCAAACTGATCTAAATAAAAAAGTTGATTAAGGTGTGTTTTAACACCAGCTGTTTTCTCGCGACTTTGCCCGCGACAATTAAAGCTTTTGTCACCCGCATAAGATGTTTTAGCCCTCCTACTCCTATCCCTAATAAGTATTGATATACTAAGTTTACCTTACAATTAGTAAGTTTATTTTCACAATTAAAAACTCAGTTTGGAAGGTTTTTCATTTTTTCCATAAAACAATATTCATTGTATCGGCAATTACAATACAACGAATCACTTATATATAACAAATCAATAATTAAATTAGAATACAAGACATAGTCAAATAAAATTTCTCCCCCCCTTCTAAAGTGTGACGTAATGTATGGATGACCCCTTATGTCAAAAGACTTAAAGGTGAATAATAGTGTCAAGTTATTTATTTTTCTCATTTATGTAATAGTAGCACGATTCTAACGGAAATATCTTAAGAAGTGCAATAGAATCGCTACCGGTGACTCATTGGTTCCTATTTACATTTGATCAGTTGGACGCTCGTGCCTGGAGGCGTGTCGACATTCAATAGTTACGTGATCAACTGATAAATCTGTTGTTATTTATTTGTCGCATGCATTACTAAGGCATTGCAATTTATGTTATCTCCATATTTGTATTATTTATTTAAATGATGATTTGCGTCAGTTATTGTATAAAATGGTTTTATCTTGCATTTTATTTTTTGTTTGTTAATGAAGTTTCTGTCACCCAGTGGCACAAACGACTGTTATTAAGCTCTAAAGAATGTTCTGAATTTGAAATATTTGTATCGTCAATGTCAATTTGAAGTAATGGCAATTTTGATGGACGCGTGTGGACATGGGTGTGTTTAGTATATTTTATAGTTTTTTTTACGACTTGTAATTTTCAAAATAAAATTCAATTAGTTGTGAGAAACTGAAATTAAGAAACTCGTGAGAAATTACATAATTCGTTCGATTAAAATAAATGTAAGGGTAACAATAATTGAAGCCCTTATAATTTAGGTATTTATGAAAGCTCAAGGTGATGTAAATATCATCCCTCGTGGAACCGTCTTCTCTCTACTTTAATTTCTAGTTCTGTCGGTCCGTGATCTTATAGGCGAATATTTACTTCGACAGCTTAAAGAACAACCTGCAGTTTGCCACGCTGAAGACCTTGTCGCTGGTCTCCATCAGCGTGATGTCGCCCCAGCAGAGCGTCCAGGAGTTGTTCCGGACAGCGGACTGCGTCTGCTTCGATGTAGACTCCACGGTGATACAGGACGAAGGCATCGATGAACTTGCCAAATTCTGCGGCAAGGGAGACGAAGTCAAAAGATTGTGAGTATATTGAAATTTAATTTAGCTAACTCGATGCATGTATTTGATGACGCGTTCTCAAGTTACCTTTATAGACTTACATTTAAACTACACTGTAACTCTTTCTAAATAACGCCAATTTCTTTGACATTTGACCTACAATCACACTAGTGCTGCCTAGCGGGAGCAAATTCTACCATCACTTCCAATGTGTAAAATATAAATATACTAGCTTTCCGCTAGTCTTGTATTATACATAAAAACATTCCTTTTGATCACCCTATCTATGAAAAAAAACCGCATCTAAATCCGTTGCGTAGTTTTAAATTTTTAAGCAATATAGGGATATAGGGACAGAGGAAGCGACTTTGTTTTATTAAGTAGTGATGTGATATAATAACGAGCCAAACTTACTTTTTCATGGTGTGAGCCATAAATAATTTACCATATAGATTTATTTTCGACGCTACGGAAATCAAATCATTAAGCCTAGATCGCTAATTCCGTAAATATCGATGAAATGATATCGTATTTTTGCATTATACATATATCGCATAGTAAAGATATTGATTGTAATCATTTGTAATAGGTATGTCTTCTGTACTTTTCCATTACCGCATTGAACAAAGTGGCAATATGATACCGCAACAAGGTCAAATGATGTATACTGAATGATTGTGAAACTATGTAACTATGCGAAAAAATATTTACAATAAAATAAAAAAACAAAAACAGGTGTGTCCAGTTGTAAATACCTACTTGTGTTGCCAGGTGTATAAATAAATTTATTTTTTAGTTGAACTCACTAAACATGTTTATATGTTTATGCAGATACTTTTTTGGATTGTTGAAAAAAGTTATTTCGATAAAATTAACGATGTTGCTAAGAAAATGTCATGTGTGATCTATTTTGCATTCACAATGCTGTGTTGATACTAATTTACAGAATTAATTTTCTTATATGGAAAAAAATGTATGATTGGTTTTTTTTTTAATTTTTAACGAGAAATTTTCAAAGTTTTTGATATGTAAAATAAAAAATATTTTTTTTGTTATCCTATTTTACTTCGCTTAGTGAACTAAGCGAGCTTTTAATGGAAACCAAAAAAAAAAACGTGTTTCTCACTTAAAAACATTTAGTAATATTTATTGTCTATATAATTTTATAATTTCTTATTTTTGATTCTACACCTACACCTGGCATTTATAACATCAAATTATATTTTTTCACTTATTTGTTCTACTCGATGACCGAATTTTCCATTGTAAATTGTAAAATTTGTTGATTTTCTCATTTGTTCTTGTTTAGGACGGCGGAGGCAATGGGTGGTAGTATGACTTTCCAAGAAGCACTCAAGAAAAGGTTAGACATTATAAGGCCAACAGTCAGTCAGATCAGAGAATATATCGAGAAGAATCCCGTCCACCTAACGCCAGGAGTATCGTAAGTTATATTCGATTTTAAAATATACAACTATAGCTCATTAACATTTGTCATCGGGCCCGAATTCGGTGTGCAAACTCGTTTCATTGACAATAAACAAATGACAGCCAATTATCGATCAATACAACCTCGAAGAAGAAATCTTAACTGCCGCTCAGTCTCTCGAGTCTCGTGTCTCCCTCATTGTGGGATGATACAACCTCTAAGAAGAGTCTTAACTACCGCTCAGTCTTTTGAGTCTCGGGTCTCCCTCACAGTCTTTTGAGTCTCGTGTCTCCCTCACTATGGTATGTTGGCAGAATTTCTGTCCATAACGGAACAAGCCCATAAAACAAGGAATGTGGTACAGAAATACTTAGCTTTAGGGCATTTCGACTGATATAATCGCTCTTCTTATTAAGGGCATTATCCCTTAATTGTACCAGTATTTAAAGTTTTCATAAAATTCAATTGGTATATTTTTTGAAGTCTGAAAAAAAGAATCTTTCATATTTGTAACATTAAGTAGGTATATAAATATTTTATATCTCCTCAAGATAGTTGTTGTCACGATGAAAAAAAAATTTATATGTAATCTTAAAATAGCATTATAACGTTGCATGATTCGATAACGTTTTATACCTATAGTTATTTTAGAGACCGATAAAGAGTTTGGTACTAATAATGATATGGAATTGTTTTATCAATTTTCAACAACATTACCGTCTACATGTAAGTTGTGTGAATAATCCTAGATATATATTTTTTTGTTAACGCAAAGGAAATTTAACTTATGACTCAAAGCACTAGGACTTGTTCCGAAGGGTAAGGTCGAAACATTTTTGGCCTACCTCCATTCTATGTGCGTGCCGTTTGATTATGAGATTACGAAATTCAAAAATAGAGAAATCTAAGATTATAAACAAAGAATAAATATGTCATAGACGTCCATTAAAATTGTCATGAGTACAAATTTTCAAAAGATTATTATTAATTGGAGCTGTGAAATCGTCATTAAATTTTAAGTAGCAAATATAATAAGTCCGCTGTCATGAGCGGCTATATACTTTTTCACCTTGCTATTATACTGGCTGTAGAAGAATTCATTTAATAATTTTATCACATGTCACAGCACTTGACCGGTACGTTTGATCATAATAATGAGTCCAGTATTCTTAACGTCATAGCAGTTCTAAAGTCGACGGGTTATCGCGCGACGGCTGACTCAATAGTTGCGTTTTTTGTACCCAAACAATATAATTTATAATGTCTACTGCTAGAGTTGTGTTATCAGGTAATGACAACAAAGTTTTTTTTTTCACTTAGTTATATTTATGTCTAACTTTGATGTAACAGGAAAATTAAGATTTAATCATGCAGTAGGAAATTTCTTGAATTATGCTATTGGTGAATTATAAGTATGCAATAACTTTTTATTCTACCATTACATGCTATCGAAATGAACCAATTTTGCAGTAATAAATAAGGACAAAATATACACGTTTATGACTTCACAACTTAAAAGCGTTACTACTCCAACCGATGCGCATTACTAAAACTAAAAATAATAACTTAATTCTTTATCGATTTGGAAAAACTTTTATTGTTCATACTTATTATTTTCTATTGAAAATAACGAATCTATTGCCTGCTCGGTTTTTCTGCTTATTTTCCCGTTACGCTACTGTGGCTCAGAATTGTGATATCGCACACCTGCTATCTTTTTCTCTCTAGAAATGGATCTGAACGATAGAAAAGGACAGGGTGACGGAAAAGGTACCATGCTCATAGATGCAAGTCTAACCCTAAGCGTCTTTCGAATTCTATTTTTTCTTTTAAAAGAATGAGCATGGCGTGTCTTGTATTGTGTATAAGATTACGGATGACATTTTTTTTGTTTGTCCGTCAGGTAGTGTGTTGAAAAAATTAAACAAGTATTTTGTATATTTTTGTGTAATCATTGAATTAAGACGATGCAGCGACCTCCTCAACTTTAAAATCTGTTATCTCAGGTATTTCTTTTAAATTGAAGCAAATAAAATACGTATCTAATATTGACTGACGGACTATATACAATCTTTTTTTTAACCACACATCATCCCTTTTGACTATTTGTTATCACGTAACGACAAAATAATATACCTACACGTGGTGTAGCTGTACAATGTAAACAAAATGTTTTTATGTGTGGCATTTGACAGAACCAGATAAAGGTCGGTGTCATTAGGGCATCGTATACTGCTCTATAACCAGAAATTACCAACTAAGTCTACATTAGGAATTTTACATATGGCAATTCCTTGATTATATATTATCTACGTACAATGTTGCAACATTATTTATTACACAATTTTATTTATAAACAAAGTTATAGTGTATGTAATATTGGCATGGAAAAACAAGTTTTAGCCAAGTAGAGATTGTTTTACCTTTTCGATATTTATAAAAAGTTAATTCAACTCTGTGAAATGTTTACTGACTGCTATTCATAGAGACTTCAATAAATGTTAATAAAAAAACATATAACACAAATGAACTTTTTTCCATCTTTTTAAGTGCTTTAGATTTTGCTTAATCAATCGTGCGACAGTAACAATAATATCAGTATAAAATAATAATTCCAAATGAAGTGTCATAGAAGAAATGCTCAAGAACACTCTTATCAAAATCTAATGCGTAGTTCAATAGAAATACATAAATATTTTTAATACGTCTTATTGAAGTTACTTGGCACTGATACTTATAAATAATTGGAGCGATATCTAGATACGCTTCGACCATTTACCGGTTCGCTAACTGGCTTTATGATACCTTAACCAGTACGCTCTGATTCTCTAACCGGATCTATGACACTCATCTAATTAGATATTTATTTGCCATCAATGCACTTTCTGTAAACTGTTAATCCTTTTCTTGGAAAACTATGCAACCACACCTTCACGTATTCTAATCTAATAATATCCATATAATAAGGAACAATCACCAAAATAATTTTCTAGAAATCAGGTTATTAGTTACCAATGGTACCAAAGTTTGTTTTGGTATCATTTGAATGGGTCTGTGTTGTTTCTTTTTTGTCTCTGTGACCTTTCTTGGATTATGTTTTTTGAATTCTCCTCAGCAAAATTAGAGTCAATAAAATCATTTTCTATTTAGTTGGGGTTTAACCTAAATTCCATATAAATATGTTTTCGGCAAAAGATTTTAGGTATTACCATCACCATTGAATATTATAATCGTCTTTTTATACATTTGCAGTGCTATTAATAAACAAGGTTTAGCGTCAGAGTAAATTTACGCTAAAATTGCAATTTAAGTTTCAGTCCAAATCCATATTATGCAGAGAATAAGCAAACCCACTACCTTTTAGGAGTAAATATTACTCCTGTAGAATTTCGTACTAACCTTTGTCTCTGTTTAATAATATGAATTTTAACTAATACTAATTGCAGTCTCAGTGTAAATTTAATTCAACGCTAAGCCTTTATTAATAACTCATTAATAACACTGTTGGGGTATTTTAGAACTAAACACTTCCTCGGCCTTTATTGTTGAAGATTTTTGACCATTTTGTTCTTTTCATTTGCAGTGCATTAGTGAAAGAACTTCACGAAAGGGGTGTGGCCGTGTACCTCGTATCCGGTGGTTTCCGGAGCCTCATCGAGCCCGTAGCAGAACTTCTCAACATACCCCCATCGAACATCTTCGCTAATAGACTCAAATTCTACTTTAATGGTAAGTTTCACTCGAGTGACAGTCAATAAAAGTCCATAAAAGTCAATAAAAGTTTATTGGTATTTCTTTTTTATTGTCTGAGGAAAATTATATTTCTTTTATATTAGTTGTTGATTGATTTTCAATTACAGAACAATATAGTTAGTTTATAGTAAAACCCATTTTCATAACAAATGTTAAATAATTGTATAAACCCAGTTATTCATAGGCTCGCGGTGTGTTCTATTATTTTAGGTCAGTATCAAATCATTCGTCTTTACGGTTTTCGATTCCTCCATTAATAATGTTACTGTATTCAATTAATAATTAAAAATAGATTGACTTTTAATGTTTCATGATTTCAATTGGAATTCGGGTATTTACATTATATTCACGTGCCATTTTGTGGTGTAATTGTTAATGATTTTGATGTCATCCAGATCAAATTTTACATATTTTACTGTAGAAAGATTTTGGAAATGATAAATGTTAAATTATATTACTATCTGCCTATATAATGCTCTTATTCACTTCCGTTCTATACTTTTCATTTGGAAATTCTTCATTAATATTTCGTATTGACAGTACTGATGATGAGTAATTTTTTACACTTATTTTTTTGATTATATTTGGTCTTTTTTGCATTCAAAAAGCTATACTGAAAATATTATTAATGAAAAACGCTTAAAAATCCACTTTGTCCGTTTCACTCTGAGATAGGATTCGAACCCATGAGCTTTCGCAATCCGGGCGACTGCACTAACCACTGAGCTACCCAGGATCTAACGTATTTTTTTTGCTTAATCATTAAATTGCGGCGATACATTCAGTTATAATGTTAGATGACGTCACGCTTTTATATATGTATTTTCTACAAAACTGACGTAGCGAGCACCCACTACTCCAATTTAATGCCTGTTATTTAAGCTATTTCTTGTTAAATTGAAGTAAAAAAATATATGTATTTAATATTATCTGCCCGACTGAGTAAATATAACTTCTTCTTGTTTACCCATTCGTCATCCCAATTATAATGCAACATATCAAAATAATACGAGTTTTCTTCTCAACGTTATCATATTAATATTTGGTGATATCGTATTTTTCTTCGAATTGGACAATAACAATATATACTCTTTAATGCTTGAATGAAGGGCAAAACCACTTGACACAATAGAAGTGTCACAGAAATTAGGTCATTGTAATAATATCGCTGTCGCATTGACTGCGGTACTGATATTGGTCATTCAAGCTCAATGTTTTCGATATGCGCGCAAGGAAATATATCGATGCTTGAAAGCAAACACGTAGTAACCCGCAAAACCAAAATTGTTCTTTAGAACAGAAAAACTGTTATTTTTTTTCGATAAATAATTCCTATAAACGTCTATGGTAACAAATAAGGTGTTCCTTAGTCAATTTTTTTTATTAAGTTTTTTTTTTAAAAAAAATATAAAAATTCACCGTTTTGGTTTTGCTAGTTAATACGGTTTATTGCATACTAGTGGCCGCCAGCGACTTCGTCCGCGTTTCTCATTATTTCTTCGCTCCTAATAGTTGCAGCGTGATGTTATATAGCCTAAAGCCTTCCTCGATAAATGGTCTATTCAACACAAAAAGAATTTTTCAATTCGAACCAGTAGTTCCTGAGATTAGCGCGTTCAAACAAACAAACAAACTCTTCAGCTTTATAATATTAGTATAGATGATGAAATTATTTTTTTCTTATTCACGATGGATAATTTTAATTTATCTTTCAAGGAAATTGTTATAACTTATGCTGTTACAAGTGATTTCCGTGATTCAGTAAGATCTGGTTATAAAGAAGTGTCGAATTCTAATTTTGAACCTTATACCTGATGAATTAAGGTTCAATATAAATTACGGACATTTTTAATATATGTGTTATCGACCGGTACATATGCATAGTGTCATTGCTAGACTGCGTGATGATAAGAGGAAAACAATTGTGTGCTGATAATTTTTAGAGCTGCAATATTTTTTTTTTTTTACTACGCAACAGACGTTGGTGTTTGCTTCATATTTTTTACGTCAAAATAGTTTTGAATTGTTTTTGTTTATTCTGAAAGAGATGTTAGACTTTGAAATTTTAACCTTTACTGAAACAATGTCTCCATGAAGATTCTATTCACGTCAATGTCGACATGTTTTGTCTGTTTTTAAAAGTAATGCTTATGAGTCATTTAGGTAATGTGGGAGAGTGGTTACAAATGTACAGAGACCATTAATATGGGGCAATTCCGACAATGATCGAACCTACGATTAATATTTATAATGAAGCTTGTTATAATAACGTTAAGGTGCAAAATTCAAAGCTACTACAGACTGATGTAACTTCCGCATATCTTAATCGTATGTAAGATTCAGAATTATACACGTGTCGCGACGCTTTTGTAATTTTAGGTTCGGTGCAAACCTGACGGACGATCTGTCGAGCGTATCAACGGAATAATGCGTTTGTGGCTCGACGGACTGACAGATTAACACTACTGGCTGTTTTGCCGTGACGTCGTTTATATGCCTATGTCACTCGCGTATGAATGAATGAATTTTTGGTGAAAGAATTTTCACGATCGGATCAGTACCTATCCCCCTAAATTACCCTACCCCCTACAAACAAACTAAATTAGAAACTGTACCTTTTTATAATATTAGTATAGATTTTTCAGTACAGATTACTAAGTCGAAGTCAATATAATCTTTAATCAAATAAACCTGTTAAAATTATGAAGGATTTGTTCAAATTTTTTCTCTGCTACTCGTTCAGAGACACTGTCTAGCTAGAGCTTAATTTATAAATGTAACAACGTACAAACAGAGATATTAATTTTCTTTACCCATGGAGACTTAAGTTTATTTATTTATAGGTATATTAATTGGTAATGTTTGTTTATTATTATTTTAAAACAAACACACTGTTATCGCGGTAAAAGTTTACATGTGTACTATCTTAAACAACGCTAACACTGCCACTTGAAGTGTACGTAGCACGCTGCCAGTGCGTGTACGGCCGCGGATGACTCGCGCGCGACAATATGTTGCGTTCTGTTTACATAAGTAGGCCGCGATCTGTGAACTCGGATCAAAACGTTTTGATCTTCTCGTTGTGAGTGAGCACAACTTAATTTAATAGGTTTTAAATGTTGACTGTTTTGTTTCGGTTTTTTAATATTTATTTGTTTTATGAGGAAAACTAATATCTATAATACATGTATTTTAAATACGAGCTAAGATTATTTTATACAGATAGCCAACCAATGAAATGAAGTTATAATACTTATAGTAATAATTTAAAATTTTATAAAATACGACTTCGCCATAAAGCGCCTTATAAATATTGATTCACGTTGAAAATGTCCAGATTAGGGTAATCTTTTAACATTTTAGTACCTTCAGTACTGGCTCTAGAAAAAACAGTAGACAAATAAATTCATACCATTGTTATATTATAAAGTAATTTAAATAAAATAATTTACTGAAAAATATACTTTCAAAATCTCAATAGATAAGGATAGCAATATATACATATATTTATGACATTTTGGAATGGTCGGTTCTATGCGCAATATTATCGAAACTACGTTAGTTGTCTACCGTCTATCTTTTTCTTATCGTCGATCAGTTAATTTTGGTACACAGGTTAATGTTAAAATTTCGTAATTGGTTTTCAACTCTACTTTAAACGTAAAAAGGCTGAGAATAAAGAAATTTGTCAGTTTTCTATAATCTGTATTTGGTGTATTTGCTTAATCACGAATCTGTTTCAACATAGATATGAGTATAAAAATTATCACACTCCACTAAATTAGGCCGCGTTCACGGCTCGACAATATTTGTACAGTAATCTGTAGATATAGATCATGACATTTCCGATTCTTTACATATCCAAGGCAAAATAAATTCTAATATCATATTATAATGGCACGTTCTTTAATAATTCATACTTTGTTCTTGATAACCTGTGTGATTTAGTTTTTCATTGATATGATGAGTACATACGTGACATTAATTAATTTATAAGTCAGTTTATTGATTCCGATAAAGCATTATATTTTCTTCGATAAATAAATTAACAGATATTGATTTGATACAGAAACGAAACAAAAATAGAGATAAGCATCGGACAGTAATAGTTCTTTTAATTTAAATAGAATGGGATAGAACTGATTTTTTTTTTTCGTTAAATGAATACTAGGGTGGCGTTGGTCTCGGTACTCTTACTCTTACTTATAAGACGTCACATGTGGATACACGTATATTAATAAAGCTAGGTAATTGTATAATTATAGAGTTATTTGAAAGACAAAAAACAATATGTATGAAAATATTTACGTTATAGTACCTATGTAAAGCTTTTTTTAAACATTACGAGACAAATATTGAAATGAGAGTCTTAACGTGTATTTATTTTGATGAAATCAGGTTTCCTTGTTTTGGAACCATAAAGTGTTGCTATTTTAGTCAACTATAACAAGTAACAACAAAACTTAATAATAATCTAATTGTAAGACAAAAACTCTGCTCTTAACTTAACCCGACTCAATACGCTTACTCGCCAGCTAGTATTTATTTGTTAAAGGTACCAAGCATTGAATGCAACTGTCAATAGATTGCGTCACCAGAACCTTAAATTATATTTGTTTTGTTGCAGGTGAATACGCTGGTTTCGATGAGAACGAACCAACATCCAGGTCGGGTGGTAAAGGACTGGTTGTGCGAAGACTCAAGGAGGCTCATGGCTACCAGAGGCTTATAATGATCGGAGATGGCGCCACTGATGCTGAGGCTAGTCCCCCCGCTGATGGCTTCATAGGTTAGTACACGTTTTTTTTCTTCCATATGAACAGTTTATCAACTTATGTTATGGCTGGTAATACAAAATTTACATAATTAACATCTCTCGGCCTTTGACCAATCAACCATACATTAAGTTGACTTACAAAGGCCGCCTTAAAATAACGTTCAAAACTAGGTATTTATTTTTTGGATTCTTATACATTTACTTGTTCTTTAAATGTTTATTTAAATTTCTTCTTTGACAGGTTTCGGTGGAAATGTAGTTCGCGAAGAAGTACGCAAGAGGGCGTCGTGGTACGTGACCGATTTCCAAGAGCTGACTAACGCGCTCGCCATTCAATCCAAATGATTTATCGAATATAGATCAATTTGCACGCAACAGTGAACTCTATTGTTTAGATAATAAAGATCTGCATCCGTCGGTGAGTCTGCAGTTAGTAATACAGACAGCAATATTGCGCAGTCGATTATCGATCTACTTACAGTAGTATTAGAGTAGAGTATGAGGAGTTAGTTTATAGTGTTTATAGCTTATGTTGTTATTTCTACTAACGTAGTTTTAAATTGATGGAGAAATGTTGCTATGCAACAATTAATAATAATAGATAATATATTTTAGACAAATTTTGCGAAAGTTCTATTTTAAAAACTCTTTAGTGTCTTTGCAATAAGAAAAATTAATGTATTATATTTGACAGTTAGTTCTTATTGCAAGGGCAATAAGAATTATGGAAAATTTATTATAGATGTGATTTGATCTTAGATTGAACTGAGCTTATGTATCTTATAGAAAATTGTTAAGTATTTTTTGACAAAATACAAATGTATTTATTAAGTGTGCTAAGGAATTGTGATAGTGAATTGCTGTGTTAATATCGGTGTAATAATGACAATTAATTTAATATATTTTAATATATGTTATTACTACTATGAAGATGAAGGCAGACTGTTATTTTGTGCACCATTAATTTTTTTTGTGGTATCGAGACTGCATATATATTTGATAATGTAGTGGGAACGAAAGCTCTGCCTTTTAAATTATTAAGAATGTTGATGGAATATTTTTTATAATATATAAACATTCAATGTGAAAATTTTTATAGTAAAATGTATTTTTAAAATTAAATTAGGTAGAAATTGGAAATTAATAATACTAATCGAATTCAGATATATATTTATATTTTATTTACAGTGAATATAGATTTTTTTGTTATAGTTGATCTTTAGCCGTAGAAATTATTCATATCGTTATACTTATTAGATATCAAAATGGCTGTGTACTTCGTAAATTTAAGTTTGTAAGTAATAAAAATGGTTTACTTAAATTGTTTTTTTTTTTTTCAATTACGTTCTATTCTATTTAATCGAAGTTAATAATGTATGGCGCCTTACTGGTTATTTATGGTATACATATGCTACTAGCTTCTATATCAATATTTCAACCCTTATTTCATCCCCTTACAATTTTCACAAAAATTGAAACCGGTTTTTATTTCTATTAGATAAAATTTCCTATCCAATGTAGTATGACGGACTTGCGTACAATCTACCAACTCCTATTTAAACTTTTAAATAGCTGAAATATATGTTTAATTATTTTTAACCAGTGGGTCAAAATTCGAGATTTATGTTTCTGTCTTCAAAACTTCCATACAAACGTTCGACCCTTTTTTTTTCTTTAGGGGTTCCTATAGTCATTATTGTCTTCTTTGGGGCTTACTCGGCAAAACTTCTGACCGAGAAGCATAGTACCAACTTGACGCCTATGTATATATGTGAGGACTTTATCTAGTGATTTACCGTAAATAAATCAAATTGCCTACAATAATTTTTAGAGCAAAGTTGTAACAACTTAGATGCGCTGTCAAAGTTTGGTAAGGTATTTGTAGTAGCATACGAGAGCTAGTGACAAAAATGCGCAAGAGATTTCTAAAGCTTGGTATTTCACTCAGTACACAGCCGCCACCGGGTGTTCCAGCGTTTGGGGGTGAGAGTCTTGGTGACTCAGTCACGGCTTCCCGGATCTTATCCCCAGGGGAGGGTCGTAAGTAGTCTAATGAAACATAAAAGTGTGATTATCAGTAATAGTATATTAAACTACATGTACTTATTTATTCGTTTACTGTCTACACCCATATTGACCCATTTTTATGTTGCATTATTTTACAATGAAAAGGACATTAGAATATTTCTTTCTTTTTATTAACGCTAAATAAATACTACAGGGGCACATAGTTTCCCTTTGGATAGAATCGAATAGGGAAAATGGGCTGAAACCCACAAAGCGGGCGATGCGGTTGGGTGCAAACGATTGCAGATGCGTTTGGACCAACAAATAAATATTTGGTCACCCATCTTACGATCGGCCCTTGCGCCATCGAGTCTTTGCGACATCCTAATTTCATTACGCCGATGGTTGAATGATGACGGATAGACGCCAATTTCGAGGTGACGCTATCCGGGTGGTGCCGACTCCCAGATTTGATTTCCGGTCGAGTTAATGTAGTAAACGGGCTTTTCTTATTGTCTGGGTGTTGTGGTCCTTCGTTGTTATAGATACTCCATGATTTTAAGGGCTTTAGATACTTGTTTTGGAATTTTGAACAAAATGCTCGATGGATGTGACTAGATTAAATCTATATCTACTTGCGAGAGATGGACATCACATTCTTCCAGCAGTATCAGTATAGTTGATTCTCCTACTGAGTATAGTTGATTATAGTATCAGTATAGTATCAGTATAGTTGATTCTCCTACTGAGGGATTTACGAGGGTTCAGCCTAGATAAATTTCCTCTCTTAGACGGGTGGGAGATGCTTAGTTGCGCATCTCTCTTGTTTTTGACGAAGGGCAGTCTAGCTGTAAAAGGGGTGGGTCGAACGGGGACGGAATGCCCGGGAAGTGGTCCAACAAGGGACCATTACCGTGCGTCGTTCTCCGTAGTGAGGGACATCGCTGAGTTTTAGTAGGTATGCCTCTGCTCTTTAACCAGCCCCCATTTTGGGGGTTGGAGCTGGGACCCCGTGGAGCTCGCTCAGAGTTAAACGAATATGCTTAACGCATTTCTCAGCGTCAAAAAAAAGTTGATTCTCCTACGGAACTCGGAAGATGTGAATGTAGAAGAGTGCAGGTTGTTATATTCTTTTGAGAATCCGAACTCTAGTTTATTAAATTATTATTTTTTTCTTATTTCCAACGCCCTATACGTTTTGAAAGCTCACAGCGCCAAGGATCTCAGTTATGTTATTTATTGTATGGGGTATTTACCTAAATAAAGTAAAATTACCAACCTATCTCTTGGAATGTCTAAGAGAAAGCCAAATTAGATCAATAATGGTCACATGATTGTTCTAAAAATGTAGGTAAACTAAATTTAAAAAATCAGTCACTGTAATTTCGGAGAATACTATTGTTGATTTTTTCTTAATTTTTCATGCAACTATTGTGACTTCGGGCGAACGTTTATTAACCCAATTATCCATTAAACTTCGCTGGGAAGTGCCACAGCACAGCTAAGAGCAGGGCACCAGGAACGAGCGGGAAATAAACCGCCGTATTTTGAACTTTCAACTCTAAAAATACATCATTGGTGACCCCGCGCGACTCTCGCGCAGTCTCGCCGGCTTCTGAAAGGTCAAGCCACGCTGAGTACGGTGCCTAATGTCTACCCAATTCGATAATTAATTCAATAGTAAACGATTGACAGTTAATTACGTTAAAGTTGGTGATCAGGTGTTTACAGTGTTATGTGCTGAATGTGTGTGTTATGAGTTATGACGTTGGTGTACAAATTTGTTTGTGAACTTAACCCTTCGTTGATCTAGAATCTAGAACTAAAATTAAAACTCACTCATAAAAAGTATTTGATTCTGTTTCATAGAGTTAAATGTGATTTCATATTTATTAAGCTGTCCCTATAATAATTTTATTTTATTACCTTTGACCACGGGTTACTTGGTTATCTGAAGGTCTGTTTACTGTGACAAGTAGATAGTATGAGTAAGTTAGTTATTGGCCCTTCAAATACAGATTGTTTCAGCGGTGCCATTCTGTGATTCAGCGCCGAAATTCACGCCAAGCATAGAGCTGTCATAGCATAGGGGTTTAATAAATTAAAATCGACTTCATTGAAACTCTATGCTGAGGAGTGCAGTACAGAATATTAAAAGCATATATATTGAGACTTCTTCCGGAGAAAAACTGCATTATAATTAAAAATTATTAACAAAGCATTATTAACGTATAAATAACCCAGAAAACTGCATTATAATTAAAAAATATTATCAAATAACATTATAAACGTATAAAGTATCCATCTGCATTATTGTCTGTATTTTTTCTGTCGGTGTTGGCTTATGTCTTGTTTTTTAATAACACTGTTAATTTCACGACACGTCTTAGTTAGTGGTTATGATGAATAAGAAATTTTACGATATTTTGCTGAAAAAGCGCCAAGATTCTAAAATATAATATTTCATATATTTGGAAAAGAATTAAAAGAAAATGAAATGTAAACAAAATGTACAAATCAGGATCGTGCAAGCAATATGTTTATAATCTGCACTGCAATGAGTTTCACGAATTTGTAGTTATAGTTTTTTTGTTATTATACGAACCCACCACATAAAAACTAGTGACCTTGTCTAAGACATGAATGTGACTATGCGTGATCCATGTCACGTCTTATATTGCCAATCTAAACAAGTATTTTATAATTATTGTTTTCTGATTCTAAAACTATTATAATGAATGAAAGATGCGTTTATTATTTAAGCCAATTTTTATTTACGGTGTCGCGACTCAACAAATAATAATGCTTTTTATCATTATGTATTTCGGAAATTACTTGTTCTGCCAATCTATTGGGAATAGGTATAACGTCCTTTAAGGATTCCAAATATGATATTTCATCGGAGTCCGAATATCTGCTCCTAAATGATTTGTTTTCTGTTATGTCCTTTTTCGTTCTTCCTTCAATATAAAACCGCCGCGGTATCACCTTCGTTTTTGATGAATCATTTTGTTTTGTAACACATTTTTTCGATACCTCCGGACATACTGCCTTCTTGACTTTGTTTATGGAGGTGATATCTTCGTCTACGGAGGGGGGATATGTTGACATGGTCAGTCTTTTTGATGTGGTTTTAACGTCTTTGGCGCCCGACGTGTTCTCAAATGTAGTCTCTTTATCAGGTGACTTAGTCGTTGATGCTACTGGTATATATTTATATATATTTATTGTGCTATTAATATAAATATATTTAAACTACTGACTGTTTTCACGCGACTTTGCCTATGTCATCCGCGTATTATGTAGCTTCTCGTAGCTGAAAGAATTTATAAATCTGTTCCGTAGTTTCAGAGTCTATTCAGTGCAAACAAACAATTCAATCTTTAAATTATTAGTATAGATAACCACGGCGCGGATCTCTCGCGAGGTAAGCATAGAATAATAAGCGTATATATCGCAGTCGATTGCCACCTTTCAATTGGACGGCTAAACCAAAGCATACCTATCGTTCTAAACTCTAGAGATTAAAACTGGCTAACTGTTTATAGGTTAACGATCACTAAACGAGACATAAATTTATCATTAATTAAAAGAAAAATACTCAAAACATTCACTATTTCCAGGTGTTCGAGAGGTTTGAACTTTATGTAATCAGGGCAACCCCTGTGCTTTGTTTAAGATAATTATAAATATAGCACGCAACATTGATTTGATCAAGTATAATATTTACTTTGAGACAATATTATTCATATTCGAAAATATCCGTGATATTAAAATTAAATTACCCCAATGACCAATTTAACAGGTTGTTGAAATTTTAACTGCTGTTCGGAAAATCCATTACTGCCCTGCGATTCTGTAGAAATACAACTGACCTGTAGCACCTAAGACCTAAGATACTTCTAATGATACATCATTTGTCCAGTCACGATGAGTAGTTTCGAAGTTATAAGGGAACAGATGAACAATCTTACATATGTACATACACACCGTGCCACATGAATGGGACCAGTGCATTTTCCTTTGCTCTTTAAAATATGAATCAAAATAAATATCTAGAAATAAAAGGTATTTAAATCTTAAGACATGCCACGTTTAACTATGAACAATTGAACACCAAAAACACTCAACGAGGCGCTCGCAACAATTCCTATAGTCAATGATAGTCAATGTGCCGCGCCACTTGAATACGACCATTAAATAAAATATAATATATATTATTATTGAATTGTATTATTAACATTTTTTATTGATTAATAATCAATGCCTTTTCCATTCCTTTGAATTAAATAAAAAATACGGGATGGCATTGAACCATATAGTTTTCTTATAAATGTAATTGGTAATTTGCTCCAAAACTTAATTATACCTTCCTTGAGCTCGTGCTTGGTGTTATATTGTTTACTGTTCTTATAAACTTCACGTAACAGCCATCCTCATACGTTTTCAATTATGTTCAGGTCGGGGGAGAGTGATGGCCGATCGAGAATATTTATATTATTTTGTAGAAACCACTCGCCAACGTTACGTGCACTATGAATACTAGCACTATCATGTTGAAAAATAAAACCTTCATTCCCTATGGCACTGCTAAGCTTACATTTCTCATTCTTCAGAAGTTTGATGTAACTTTTAGAGCTTTGTCTACCTTCTATTACCACTAAACTAATCAGTCCATTATATGATATTGCACCCCAGATCAAATACCACAGATCAAACATAATAAGAATACTGAATACCCATCAGGGCCGTCTAAATTAAACTTTTTTTAATATTTTCATGATTTACGAAAAAATCAAATAATTTTATCACGGCGGCGAAACGATGCAGGGTCAGTAATGATCTGGGAAAAGGAAAATGCATTGGTCCTATTCATGTGGCACGGTGTGTATATACCGGCCAAAATCATAAACCTCCTTTTCGCGGTCCTAGTCGGGTAATAAATTTGTTTGCTAATAAAAGGGAAACATTTATGAATTACCGGATATTTTCGAATATTAAACCCGAATGGTATTGAAACAAATAAAAAAAAAATCACCTGTTGTAGTCTCTGTCGTAGTAGTTGTAGTTTGAGCGGTGGTAGGTATTAATGTAGTGGTTGAACTTTGCGTAGTCGTGGGTGGATCAGTATTTTGTGTAGTTGCTGTTGTCTTCGGATCGGATATTACATGTATAAGATAAGGGACCGGATAGGGTACAATGAATAAAGGTTTGCACTTGTTACAAAAGGATTTACAGCATGGTTTAGGCTTGTAGCAATGGCTGCACGAACACGGTTTACATTCCTCGCTGTCTTCACTATAATCTGGAGGTTTTGTACGAGCTAATAATGATCTTTTCTTCGGTTTTTTATAGTAATTGTTGTAGTAATAATTTGAATGTTGTACGTTCGAATAATCCATGTAATTCGGGGCGTAATTTAAATATTGTGCACATATTTCTACTGATAAATAAAGTATTTCGATATAAAAGATCTGAAAGTTAAGTGGTTTATTATGTATGATTGATTATTGATAAATGATTAATTTAATGCAATAATGCAGTTCCTCACATTTTTCATAATATGAAAGATTAATATCGTTTTAGAAGATAATTCATAACGTTTTATGATTATTTTGTGTCACATTCTTAAAAAATATAGTACGTTTATTTTAGAAGATTCTTTTCTATAAAATCATGGCGCAACAATGGTTTATTTACGATAATGTAAAATTATATCGTAAAGTGTACTTTATGATATTGTTTCGATTTATTACTCAATGGAAAATATATAAGTGCGAATTCGATTTCTTTCGATTCCTTTTAAGCATATCGCGTTTACTCAAACAGCAGAAAAAGTTTATAATTGAAATAAATTATATAAAAATATCTTACACGACAATTTTATGTGATCATATTTATTAACTAAAACAATCTATAAAAATAATAACTATATAACGAAAAAGTTCTTATAATTACATAAGTAGTCAGCACGAGAGCAAAATCCTTGCCACTGTTTTATGATAGATCAAAATATGTACGTCCTATACACCGAGTATGTTACGATACATATGCTACTTCTCGTCCATTAATTTAATTTATATACCCTCCTCACATTGTGTTCCTAATTGCTGTGGGTCGGGAAGTCTCCATTTTTCTTTTGTCGTCACTAATCTGTTTATGTCTTTATCACTGTGTATTGTTGCAGTTGGATGTCAAACGTTCAGCGTGTCTGCATGCTTTTGATCGTGATTGCAATTGAGCCCGTTTCGTATACTTGATTGGGTACGCTTTGTTTTAACGAAGGGGAAATGCAACGTTAAGCTTTAAACCGGGCTCTGCAGCCGTCCTGAAAAGGGCATCGGCCCTGCGATTCTGTAAAAATCCGAGCCCGAATTCGAATTCACTCAGGTTTCCATATACACTTCAAAAAGTGGCATCCGCTCAATCTTGAATTGGTAATAGCGTTTCGTGGCATAAGTGAAGTGAGCTTTGAAAAGACACAGGAATAGAATATCTGAAACACGTATAATCAATCAATTTGTTTTGTATTTCATACAAAAAAAATTTGAATCAATAGAATAATTAGATAAATAATTTCTTCACCAAATGACGTGAACCATATGAGTAAATTTGATTTCGGATACTGATTTTTACAGAATCGCCTGCAGGACTAGTACCTAGTACCCGGCAAGGAGCCTGCGGGTACTAGAGTATCTTTTACGCTCAAAGATAGAAATTACTCATTGAGCGAAAAAATTGTTCTCAACGCGTTGCGGCAATCGCAGAATAACCAAATAATGAAATTCATAGTAAGTATGCTGATCTGTCCATCTTGTTCGACTGTGGCCTCTTTGTCATTTGTCCTCAGTTTTACAAGGAACAATTAGTTGTTTTAAGGTTGTGGCCTTCTTTCCTGACTATGTGGTCAAGAAACTATAGCCTGGTCATGTTTAATGCGCTCAAGATCATGTAAATGTTGGAAAATCAGTCCATGGGATTTTGCGTTTTTCATGCGGTCATAATCAGACTTTTTACGAGTATAAAAAATATATAAAGTATAAAAAAATTACACAAGTCTATCATGTTATAAAATGGCGTTTCTATTCTAGGATCCATTCAAAGTAATTTTCATTATGTATATTCATTTTGAATGACTTAACTTTTTATTCCGCATTTATATCTCTCATTTGTCTTAATTGGGACATCAGTCTTTCAGCCAGACGGTCAGGTATCTGAACAATACCATACTTAGGTCTACCATCAGGTATAGTTCTTCTCAATGAAGTCAGTATGTATTTTTTATCACCGTTCCTTCTCTGCGATGTCTTCATTATGTCGTCAAATTCTATGCCATTTCGGTGAAAATCCTTGTTAATTATCCAATCATCATCAACTTGAGTGACTGCAGACTCGGTAGTGACTTTGCTTGTTGTAAGTGTCGTGGTAGATGTAGTAGTAGTAGGAGGAGGGGTTGTAGTAGTAGCAAGAGGAGTTGTAGCAGTAGTAGGAGGTGGGGAATTTGTCGTTGGAGCATCTGTTTCGGGGGTAGCTGTTGTTGTCACTATAATTGGGTAAGGATAAGGCATGAAAAGGATGTTAGGATGATTGCAAGATAAACACATTTGCTGGCAGCATGTTTTAGGTCTACTGCATTCATTGCACGAGCACACACATTCATCTAAATCCGTGTAATCATAGTTTTGGATATACGGAAATGTAATATCGTTGTTGTATCTCCCATGTCTGTGATATCTAGGAGCGAAATCCATAGTGGGGTATTCTACGATTCCTGTTTCGTAGAAGTTTGGTTGTGAAAATGAAGGTGCTTGGTAAAATGAAGGGTATTGCGTGGAAGATATACTGATGAAGCTTAGAAGGTATATTAGAAACATCTGAAATAGAAGGTTATTTCGAACATTAGATGTGTATTCAATTGAAAAATGTAATTGCGTCTGTACGGTCTACCGCACAAAGGATCTAGCGTGAAGTATTTCTTAGGTGGTTGCGTGACTTAATAAATATTAAATAATTAAAATATTAAACAACATCACATACATTGTCCAGATTCCAAAATGAGTAGCTAAAGCCCCCTGTATTATGGAGCATTTGAGACAACAAAGGTACAACAACACCCAGACCCGAGACAATATAGAAAAGTTCATTTCCAACATTGGCCCGACCGGGAATTGAACCCGGGACCTCAGAGATGGCGACATCTTGAAATCGGCGTGCGAACCACTTGGCTGCGGAGGTCATCGCGCAATTGGGTTCACTAAGCACCTTTCTATTATAGTATAAGTACTTATTTGAGATAGGAGTAACTGTCCGTCTTCGTTACTAAACTTTTTTGAACCTTGTTTACGTTTCTACGGATTACGATTCGGTTTTTCCTTGCTCGATAAGAAATTTCTTGAGGAAGGTTTTATTAATCTTGTAAAATGTTTTATTTGCGTAGAGGGTAATTTGCCAGTAAATAATCACAACATATTCTAAATCATAAACTTAATGAGAAGTGTATATCGCTCGCCGGCCGCCACCGCAGCACGTTTGTTTTACCTGGGCGAATCGCTTTGCTCGATCGGATCGCTTTTATTTTGGTCACAGTTTTAATTTAATGTATCTAGTAACATAATAAAAACACTCTAAATGTAATAATGCTGGCATAAAGTGTATGCAAAAAAAATATGGCAAAGTATAATATCAAAATGGTTATGCCAAATTATATTAGAAAATAATTATGTATAAAGAAGGGACATCTAAATTTAATTTAAAACATGAATTTTACATACCATATATAGTGTCATATTTCACGTTGCTTACCAGACTAACGTGAATACTAAATAAAACCGATTAGTTCTTTTTTTCAGCTGCCGATTGTTCTCTAATACGTTACATGGACTCTTATACAACGTTATTGAACAATCATGGTTCAACTATTAAGGTTCCATTAGGTGGACATTTTAAGGTTTATAGTTATTATTGTTTTTCTATTTTTTGAATATGAAATGAATATTTATTAAAAACATTTTTTACATCCATAAACTTTGTTTCGGTTGTTATGTTGTAAACTCTCACCTATATATTATGTTATTAACCTGGGTCTTTGGGTATCTATTACATTAAAGTCATCTAAATCCTTTATCTATGTAGTCAGAACGAAGGTAATAGTTTTAATAGTCAATTGGAAATGTTTTCCAAAAAACAGTTTTTGTCCAGATGACAAATTTATTATCCCAGAAGATTTTTATTTTGCGAACGTTGTCTGGCATATTCAGGGTGGTTGCCTTATATTATATATATAATTATCTATTTACTAAAAGTTAAGGTGATTTTTTTAGATACATTATCACAATGTAATCTCCTTCAATGTAGTCAAGTTATAAATTATAAATTACTTGACTCGGTGCTTGCCAATGATCAACTTTCGATATGCCCTTGTGATGACTTGGTCTTGAATGATAAGTCACATCATAGGGCACTCAAAGTATTCTGTGCTGTTGTAAATTATTTAGTCGAAAAAAATTAGGGAAAGCTTATATAACTCCGGTAATTATGTTATACATATTGAGCTGGATGGTGGGGATTGGCACCAAAGCCTGAATGGACTATCCTTTGAAGATGCACTTAAATTAATAATAATAATAATATTCTTTATTGCACAAATATAGGACACATTACAAAGAAAGAAAAAAAAATCAGACAGTATACAAAAGGCGGCCTTATTGCTATGCAGCAATCTCTTCCAGGCAACCAATGGTAATATAGAATACATAGATAAATAATAATGAATGATGACGGGGAGTAGGTGCTATAGCGACAAGAATTAAATATATATACATAAAGAGAAAAATAAATAATCTACACGAAAGAGAGAGTTAAAAGTTGGAGAGAAAGTGACATTTTACTTCTGCGACGAAAGATCGCAAAGTGCGAGCCTTCCTAATATTTTCTGGTAACGAGTTCCAAAGCCGAACAGCTTGAACAGAAAAAGAATAGGATAGGAAGTCCGAGGAGTGAGGAAGGATATCAAGTTTTAAAATTAATGAAACTTCATATTGAATGAAGATGCAGGACCTGATGGTGTCGCACCTGCATTTATTGTTATATGCTTAGTTGCGCTACTTTGGATTATCTTCAGGCGCTCATTGGACGAAGGTCTTGTTCCCGCCATCTGGAAATCTGATTTCATTACACCTGTGTTTTCGAACGGAGATAATTCACAGACAGATTTATACTGCTCTTAACAATTGGTTTATCCCTAAACAGCACGGCTTCTTGAAGGGCCGCTCAACTGTTGCCAATCTTCTTGTAACTAATAACTACATAACATTTTGTATGGTTGCTGGCACTCGAGTCGTCTTGATTTTTGCGGATTTTAGTAAAGACTTTGATCGTGTAGATAGATCATTTCATCTTGCTT